TAGCCACATGATCCATCTCTAAACTAAACAGCTAAATAGGACTTAACAACAAGTCAGCCAAATTGGTTAAATTTCATGGTTGATAAAATTTACCGTGTATGAACGTAGCGTTTCTGATTAAGTAATATATTGTTTATTCAGTTTCTATGTCCCTGGTAGAACTATTTCACACCTCTGTGATGTGGTGTGGCCTTTGAGTCTGCAGATTTTAAGGAGTTATAACATTTTGACTTCCTTAAGATCAGTCCGTGTATACAAGGTCACACACCATTAGTTGATACGCCAGAGTGCCCACTATCATTTTACCCTGATAGACAGAGGCTACAGTAGATCCGGTTAACTCAGATCCAGAATCTCTGAACACCTCCACAGCCTCCGTAAACTTTCCCTCTGATGTCTTCACCTTCAGGATCTGTGAAAAGATAGCTTTAAATGATATAACTAGGCAGAAAACACCTACCACCTACCACAATCTGAACAGGTAAAGAGCTGTGAACCTACCAGAATCTTAGCAGGTATAGAACTGTGAACCTACTACAATCTGAACAAGTATAGAACTGTGAACCTACCACAATCTGAACAGGTATAGAACTGTGAACCTACCACAATCTGAACAGGTATAGAACTGTGAACCTAGAACAATATGTGAACCTACAGCAATCTGAACAGGTAATGAGCTGTTAACCTACCAGAATCTGAGCAGGTATAGAACTGTGAACCTACAACAATTTGAACAGGTATAGAACTGTGAACCTACCACAATCTGAACAAGTATAGAACTGTGAACCTACAACAATCTGAACAGGTATAGAACTGTGAACCTACAACAATCTGAACAGGTATAGAACTGTGAACCTACCACAATCTGAACAGGTAAAGAACTGTGAACATACCACAATCTGAACAGGTATAGAACTGTGAACCTACCACAATCTGAACAAGTATAGAACTGTGAACCTACAACAATCTGAACAGGTATAGAACTGTGAACCTACCAGAATCTGAACAGGTATAGAACTGTGAACCTACAACAATCTGAACAGGTATAGAACTGTGAACCTACCACAATCTGAACAGGTATAGAACTGTGAACCTACAGCAATCTGAACAGGTATAGAACTGTGAACCTACCAGAATCTGAACAGGTATAGAACTGTGAACCTACCACAATCTGAACATCTATAGAACTGTGAACCTTAAACAATCTGAACAGGTATAGAACTGTCAACCTACCAGAATCTGAACAGGTATAGAACTGTGAACCTACCACAATCTGAACAGGTATAGAACTGTGAACCTACCACAATATGAACAGGTATAGAACAGTTAACCTACTACAATCTGAACAGGTAAAGAACTGTGAACCTACCAGAATCTGAACAAGTATAGAACTGTGAACCTACAACAATCTGAACAGGTATAGAACTGTGAACCTACAACAATCTGAACAGGTATAGAACTGTGAACCTACAACAATCTGAACAGGTAAAGAACTGTGAACCTACAACAATCTGAACAGGTATAGAACTGTGAACCTACCACAATCTGAACAAGTATAGAACTGTGAACCTACCAGAATCTGAACAGGTATAGAACTGTGAACCTACCACAGTCTGAACAGGTATAGAACTGTGAACCTACCAGAATCTGAACAGGTAAGGAGCTGTGAACCTACCAGAATCTGAACAGGTATGGAACTGTGAACCTACAGCAATCTGAACAGGTATAGAACTGTGAACCTACCACAATCTGAACAGGCATAGAACTGTGAACCTACCACAATCTGAACAGGTAAAGAACTGTGAACCTACCGCAATCTGAACAGGTAGAGAACTGTCAACCTACTACAATCTGAACAGGTATAGAACTGTGAACCTACCACAATCTGAACAAGTATAGAACTGTGAACCTACAACAATCTGAACAGGTAAGGAGCTGTGAACCAACCAGAATCTGAACAGGTATAGAGCTGTGAACCTACCACAATCTGAACAAGTATAGAACTGTGAACCTACCAGAATCTGAACAGGTAAGGAGCTGTGAACCTACCAGAATCTGAACAGGTATAGAGCTGTGAACCTACCACAATCTGAACAGGTATAGAACTGTGAACCTACAACAATCTGAACAGGTATAGAACTGTGAACCTACAACAATCTGAACAGGTATAGAACTGTGAACCTACAACAATCTGAACAGGTAAAGAACTGTGAACCTACAACAATCTGAACAGGTATAGAACTGTGAACCTACCACAATCTGAACAAGTATAGAACTGTGAACCTACCAGAATCTGAACAGGTATAGAACTGTGAACCTACCACAATCTGAACAGGTATAGAGCTGTGAACCTACCACAATCTGAACAGGTATAGAACTGTGAACCTACAACAATCTGAACAGGTATAGAACTGTGAACCTACAACAATCTGAACAGGTATAGAACTGTGAACCTACAACAATCTGAACAGGTATAGAACTGTGAACCTACCACAATCTGAACAGGTATAGAACTGTGAACCTACCACAATCTGAACAAGTATAGAACTGTGAACCTACAACAATCTGAACAGGTATAGAACTGTGAACCTACCACAATCTGAACAGGTATAGAACTGTGAACCTACAACAATCTGAACAGGTATAGAACTGTGAACCTACCACAATCTGAACAGGTATAGAACTGTGAACCTACAGCAATCTGAACAAGTATAGAACTGTGAACCTACCAGAATCTGAACAGGTATAGAACTGTGAACCTACCACAATCTGAACATCTATAGAACTGTTAACCTACAACAATCTGAACAGGTATGGAACTATTAACCTACCAGAATCTGAACAGGTATAGAACTGTGAACCTACCAGAATCTGAACAGGTATAGAACTGTCAACCTACCAGAATCTGAACAGGTATAGAATTGTGAACCTACCACAATCTGAACAGGTATAGAACTGTGAACCTACCACAATATGAACAGGTATAGAACAGTTAACCTACTACAATCTGAACAGGTAAAGAACTGTGAACCTACAACAATCTGAACAGGTAAAGAACTGTGAACCTACAACAATCTGAACAAGTATAGAACTGTGAACCTACCACAATCTGAACAAGTATAGAACTGTGAACCTACTACAATCTGAACAGGTATAGAACTGTGAACCTACCACAATCTGAACAGGTATAGAGCTGTGAACCTACCACAATCTGAACAGGTATAGAACTGTGAACCTACAACAATCTGAACAGGTATAGAACTGTGAACCTACAACAATCTGAACAGGTATAGAACTGTGAACCTACAACAATCTGAACAGGTAAAGAACTGTGAACCTACCACAATCTGAACAGGTATAGAACTGTGAACCTACCACAATATGAACAGGTATAGAACTGTGAACCTACCACAATCTGAACAGGTATAGAACTGTGAACCTACCACAATCTGAACAGGTAAAGAACTGTGAACCTACCACAATCTGAACAGGTAAAGAACTGTGAACCTACCACAATCTGAACAAGTATAGAACTGTGAACCTACCAGAATCTGAACAGGTATGGAACTGTGAACCTACAGCAATCTGAACAGGTATAGAACTGTGAACCTACCACAATCTGAACAGGTATAGAACTGTGAACCTACCACAATCTGAACAGGTAAAGAACTGTGAACCTACCACAATCTGAACAGGTATAGAACTGTGAACCTACCACAATATGAACAGGTATAGAACTGTGAACCTACCACAATCTGAACAGGTATAGAACTGTGAACCTACCACAATCTGAACAGGTAAAGAACTGTGAACCTACCACAATCTGAACAGGTAAAGAACTGTGAACCTACCACAATCTGAACAAGTATAGAACTGTGAACCTACCAGAATCTGAACAGGTATGGAACTGTGAACCTACAGCAATCTGAACAGGTATAGAACTGTGAACCTACCACAATCTGAACAGGTATAGAACTGTGAACCTACCACAATCTGAACAGGTAAAGAACTGTGAACCTACCACAATCTGAACAGGTAGAGAACTGTCAACCTACTACAATCTGAACAGGTATAGAACTGTGAACCTACCACAATCTGAACAAGTATAGAACTGTGAACCTACCAGAATCTGAACAGGTAAGGAGCTGTGAACCTACCAGAATCTGAACAGGTATAGAGCTGTGAACCTACCACAATCTGAACAAGTATAGAACTGTGAACCTACCAGAATCTGAACAGGTAAGGAGCTGTGAACCTACCAGAATCTGAACAGGTATAGAGCTGTGAACCTACCACAATCTGAACAGGTATAGAACTGTGAACCTACAACAATCTGAACAGGTATAGAACTGTGAACCTACCAGAATCTGAACAGGTAAAGAGCTGTGAATCTACCAGAATCTGAACAGGTATAGAGCTGTGAACCTACCACAATCTGAACAGGTATAGAACTGTGAATACACCAGATTCTCTACATGTTACCTCGATTTTGAACGGGCTCCACGTGATGTAAAGGAACATGACAGGACGGGCGGACGAATAAGTTGCTATACAGAAATATATAACACGTTCTGGCCATGGGGATACCTTTGTACTTTTGTAAAAGTAACGACGTGTATATATCATGTTTTTATCGCTTCAATGGTGTTCCGTAACTATTCTAATTATTACCTAACTTTATATCACGATATTCGCCACATCAAATGTTTTATCAGCAGTAGGTTTTTAATGTATACAAAATGGTAAGTACTACAGTATGGAGTGTTTATAACACAACCACTAGAAGTTTTAGTAAGGTCTATGTTAAGTAAGCGTTAAGTACTACAGTATGGAGTGATTATAACACAGCCACTAGAAGATTTAGGTCTATGTTAAGTAAGCGTTAAGTACTACAGTATGGAGTGTTTATAACACAACCACTAGAAGGTTAGGTCTATGTTCAGTAAGTGTTAAGTACTACACTATGGAGTGTTTATAACACAACCACTAGAAGGTTAAGTCTATGTTCAGTAAGTGTTAAGTACTACAGTATGGAGTGTTTATAACACAACCACTAGAAGTTTTAGTAAGGTCTATGTTAAGTAAGTGTTAAGTACTACAGTATGGAGTGTTTATAACACAACCACTAGAAGTTTTAGTAAGGTCTATGTTAAGTAAGTGTTAAGTACTACAGTATGGAGTGTTTATAACACAACCACTAGAAGATTTAGGTCTATGTTAAGTAAGTGTTAAGTACTACAGTATGGAGTGTTTATAACACAACCACTAGAAGATTTAGGTCTATGTTAAGTAAGTGTTAAGTACTACAGTATGGAGTGTTTATAACACAACCACTAGAAGTTTTAGTAAGGTCTATGTTAAGTAAGTGTTAAGTACTACAGTATGGAGTGTTTATAACACAACCACTAGAAGGTTAAGTCTATGTTCAGTAAGTGTTAAGTACTACAGTATGGAGTGTTTATAACACAACCACTAGAAGTTTTAGTAAGGTCTATGTTAAGTAAGTGTTAAGTACTACAGTATGGAGTGTTTATAACACAACCACTAGAAGGTTAAGTCTATGTTAAGTAAGTGTTAAGTACTACAGTATGGAGTGTTTATAACACAACCACTAGAAGGTTTAGTAAGGTCTATGTTAAGTAAGTGTTAAGTACTACAGTATGGAGTGTTTATAACACAACCACTAGAAGTTTTAGTAAGGTCTATGTTAAGTAAGTGTTAAGTACTACAGTATGGAGTGTTTATAACACAACCACTAGAAGTTTTAGTAAGGTCTATGTTCAGTAAGTGTTAAGTACTACAGTATGGAGTGTTTATAACACAACCACTAGAAGTTTTAGTAAGGTCTATGTTAAGTAAGTGTTAAGTACTACAGTATGGAGTGTTTATAACACAACCACTAGAAGTTTTAGTAAGGTCTATGTTAAGTAAGTGTTAAGTACTACAGTATGGAGTGTTTATAACACAACCACTAGAAGTTTTAGTAAGGTCTATGTTAAGTAAGTGTTAAGTACTACAGTATGGAGTGTTTATAACACAACCACTAGAAGATTTAGGTCTATGTTAAGTAAGTGTTAAGTACTACAGTATGGAGTGTTTATAACACAACCACTAGAAGATTTAGTAAGGTCTATGTTCAGCAAGTGTTAAGTACTACAGTATAAAGTGTTTATAACACAACCACTAGCAGTTTTGATAAGGTCTATGTTAAGTAAGTGTTAAATACTACAGTATGGAGTGTTTATAACACAAACAGTTGTACCTGTGAAGGCATGCGGCTCCGAGGCCCGAGACTGCTATACTCCATCAGGTGATAATGAATGGGATGGCATCCTACCCAAAGATCTCCCGATTCTTTGTCTATCTCTATGTTGTCCACGAGCGTGTTCAGAAACAAATCCTGATGGATTAGAATGCATACAATTTCATGCCTTTGATCCAAATTAAAACAGAAAACTGTTTTTCTGAAATCTGTATACCACATCAGTCACAGTGTATGTGATAGTTTTCTTTAATGTCCAAAAACCAAAGCTTCCTTATTCACTTACATAACGTTAAATACACGCCTATTTTCTCCATTGATTAGCTACATTATATTCCTTATCAGACAAGGCAGCCTTTCGTCCAGTCATATCAATTTAATACATATACCATCATACAGTATAGTAAAACACAAATTTAACATTACATACATTCCACGACAAGTATATAACCGGAAGCCTTACATCGACATGCTCCAGGTTCTTGTCTACAATACGATAGGATTTCAGCTGCTTCCTCCCGAATTCTGACACGTACAAATATCTACAAGAAAATCTGACACGTCACAGAGGCACGACTCGACCAGTACAAACACAGAATTTATAAACATTTAAACTCATACTGAAAATTCTACTTTATGGAATAACTGTTGATGTTAGACCCCGAGAGTAGCAATGAGAACAGTTCCAATTGAAATCACGAACATTGACTCTCTAATGGTATTTGTCGTGTTGTGATAACTCTAGATAATGTCCTCTCGTCAGATGACACGTTGATGCAATTGTCGTGTTGTGTTGTAATAACCCTAAATACAAACCTCTTGTCTGGTGACACATTGATGCAATTGTCGTGTTGTGTTGTAATAACCCTAAATACTGACCTCTTGTCTGGTGACACATTGATGTAATTGTCGTGTTGTGTAGTAATAACCCTAAATACTGACCTCTTGTCTGGTGATAAAATTGATGCAATTGTCGGGTTGTGTTGTAATAACCCTAAATACAAACCTCTTGTCTGGTGACACATTGATGCAATTGTCGTGTTGTGTTGTAATAACCCTAAATACTGACCTCTTGTCTGGTGACACATTGATGTAATTGTCGTGTTGTGTAGTAATAACCCTAAATACTGACCTCTTGTCTGGTGATAAAATTGATGCAATTGTCGGGTTGTGTTGTAATAACCCTAAATACTAACCTCTTGTCTGGTGACACGTTGATGCCGTTGGGTAAGTGTAGCCCCTGTGCCACACTCCGGAAATCCCTGCCATCGTAGTACAGTATCTCACCATATTTCAACATCAACAACAGCTCCAGCTGTAGGTAATCACGCAGCGTCGTGTACTTGGTGATGTAGAAAGTCCTGTCACTTGTCATCACCAAGTCATTCATACTGAATTTAAATTAACAAGTCATTGGTGATCTATGCACGATTGAAAGAATCCTTATTTTTCATTGATGTTTTTTTTTATCTCAGGTGAAACACCATTTTCATTCAAATCTTGAAATAAGCTTCAAATAAGATGAACTACATTACAACATACACTGAAATATTTTTTATACTTTTTAAAAATGATAAGAATATTAAAGCTTTAAAAAGCCATCAATATTGTTTTCTATTACGTTAATGAATCCTGTCTAATGGTGATGTTTCCTTCAGACTTACTTTGTCAGTTTCGGACCTACTTTGTCAGTTTCGGACCTACTTTGTCAGTTTCGGACTTACCTTGTCAGTTTCGGACTTACTTTGTCAGTTTCGGACTTACTTTGTCAGTTTCGGACTTACTTTGCCAGATTCTCACTTACCTTGTCAGTTTCAGACTTACTTTGTCAGTTTCGGACCTACTTTGTCAGTTTCAGACTTACCTTGTCAGAGTCGGACTTACTTTGTCAGTTTCGGACTTAATTTGTCAGTTTCGGACATACGTGGTCAGTTTCGGACTTACTTGGTCAGTTTCGGACTTACTTGGTCAGTTTCGGACTTGTGATTGAATCAGTATGACGTAATGTTTGTGATTCCTTCTGAAACTTGAATACTTCTATGTGATCTTCAGGACCGGCATGGTTTATTACCATCAAAGTTATCTCCCCTGAAAAAAGGCTTTCAATATAGTAAATATAATCAGTATCACTGAGAGTTTGGAATATGTACAAGGATATCGTAAGATATAGAGTGTCTAATTCGTCAGTTATAAGATAACAGACGAGGATATCATACAATAAGAAAGCCCTTTTATTAAGTTTTTATTTTGCTTCGATCTAAAAAATTCCTTAAATATAATTGTCAAAATTAATTGAAACGCTCGTATTCAGATTCAGATTGCTCCACAAATTTAATGAATATAATGAAATATAAGGAACCATCCGACAGCATAAGATTCTCGACACTCAGAAAAACCTTACGTGACATAAAGTGTAAGTATTTTAAACCCGTGTGATGATTTAGATGGATTGGTTTGACGGGCATTATTTGATTTCATTTGTATCAAATCTATGGCCGTATGTTATAACTTCGACAAACTGAGGGACTGAACAAATTACTGATTTCTTTAGAATTTAGCAGAAAAGTCGAATGTCAGACACCTAGGCCACGGATCATTGAGCAATGGTTCCATATTGATATTTCTATAAAATTTTCAACCTAAAACAAGATGTCACCTGCTGATACTTTAGTCAAAGACAAATACGCTGTAGATCGATAAGGCTGATGATCATGTGATCTAGTAATCAGCATAAGTATTCAAACGTTATATGTTAATCGCCATTGTAAATTTATCTGAACTTAAGTTTGTACAATGTATGACTGAACCTGAAACTTCGAGATAATCTGGTTTGTATACAATGTTAGTTCATCTGTCATACACACAGTGAAGGGGTAGATAACTCGTACACAATGTTAGTTCATCTGTAATACACACAGTGAAGGGGTAGATAACTCGTACACAATGTTAGTTCATCTGTAATACACACAGTGAAGGGGTAGATAACTCGTACACAATGTTAGTTCATCTGTAATACACACAGTGAAGGGGTAAATAACACGTACACAATGTTAGTTCATCTGTCACACACACAGTGAAGGGGTAGATAACTCGTACACAATGTTAGTTCATCTGTCACACACACAGTGAAAGGGTAGATAACTCGTACACAATGTTAGTTCATCTGTCATACACACAGTGAAAGGGTAGATAACTCGTACACAATGTTAGTTCATCTGTCATACACACAGTGAAGGGGTAGATAACTCGTACACAATGTTAGTTCATCTGTCGAACACACAGTGCAGGGGTAGATAACTCGTACACAATGTTAGTTCATCTGTCATACACACAGTGAAGGGGTAGATAACTCGTACACAATGTTAGTTCATCTGTAATACACACAGTGCAGGGGTAGATAACTCGTATATAGGATTAGTTCATCTGTCACACAAGAACAGGATCAATTTAGATTTTTTTCAGTCGCCCCCTAAACTTCAAAATTTAAATCCATTATATCACTGACAATTCCTCAAGGACGAAACAGCTGTCCAGTACACTTTTATTGTATCTAAGTTTGTATTGAAAAGATGTGCCGCTTTGAAAATATCAGAATAAACTGTGGATGCTTAGAAATTTATCTGCAACACATGCAGACCAGTTGATGAAAAATCCCTCATAATGCTGTATCACACGAGTTGTGTAACACTCATTTAAGGTAAACGACTCATTCTTAAAATAAATTCACCTGTTTAGTCTCAAACCCATTCAGGGATAGGTAACTCGTACTTAAGGTTAGTTCATCCATTTCAAGGGCGGATAACTATGCATCAAGGTTGGTTCATCTGATTAGTCTTACAACCGTTCGGGGATGGATAACTCAGTCTAAAGGGTAGTTCATTTGTCTAATCGAACACCCCTCAAGGGGTAGATAACTCGTTCTTAAAATTAGTTCATTTGTCTAATCTAACACCCATACAGAGGCAGATAACTCTTTGTTAAGATTATTTTATCTGTCTAGTCTCATTCACATTCAGGAGCAGATAACTCATTTTATTATAATCTTACCGGTTGTACTGTCCTGCCAAACAGACATTCCATGGAAAGATGAATGAGACAAATCACGAATAGAGCTGGTAATGCGTAACTCCTTCACCTCATGTGATGGACTGTCAAGCTGATTGAAGTCAAAAAGAAGAATTCGGCCTCGAGTCCAGGAACAAAATCCCTGAAACATTTGAGAAATTGTTGTCTGAACCGGCGTCCTCGATGCATTTACATAGATAAGATTCAGGACAAGTATTGTCTTTTGAAGGAGTTGTCTGTAATAACTAATCATTATCTAGTAAACCGATCCATAACCTCAAAGTTATTGTCTGGGACAGTGAGCACGTGCTACAAGGACATTGGACAGTACAGGGATGATTCAGCAGGATAAACAAACCGAGGAGATGAAGGTCAAACCATTGTCTAACACGGTGAGGTCTTCTGAACCACCATCTGTAACCAAATTGATGTGTTTAAAGTTTTTTTTTCAGAACAGTGATACACCTGTAAGAGAAATACTGGATACTAAGGATACATTTCCGTGTGAAAAGAATTGTATGTATGTATAATACTGTATAACACTGTATAATGTTTATAATATCGTATGATATTGTATAATACTGTATAACACTGTATAATGTTTATAATATCGTATGATATTGTATAATACTGTATAACACTGTATAATGTTTATAATATCGTATGATATTGTATAATATTGTAAAATCCTTTTTAATATTCTATAACACAGTTTCGTCTCATATTATTTTCACTCTAGTGCCATTTTACATGAATTGCCTGATATTCATTTCTCGTTCGGAGGATTATATAAAATGGATATACATGTATACATCCAATATAAATAGTTTACTTTACATACCCCTGTTGTAAACTGGCAGTTTAGCAAAATTGATATTTCACTTATCTAGCCATTATCAATATATCATCGATATCACATTATGAAGAGGTATATTAAAGCATATTATGTATATATATATATATATATATATATATATATACATTTGTATAGATATATGATCAATGAAGTAATAGCAGCAGTAGGGACACGAATTGTCAAATTTTTGAGGCAACCTGTTTTACATAAATCTAGGTATGTTTTGCAATCTAGACACCTAGCGTATATGTGATATATACGATAATATATGTAATATATTTGATAAATGATAAAACAATATATTATTACACGTATGTATATCGTTCAATCAAAAAAGTGTTCATCAATAACGTATTTGAGTTTTGTTTCAATATTAATGAGTGCGATAAATCCAATGAAATTATCGAACAATGGCTCTGATATTTTCTCTGGTCATTTATCAATTAGTTTTAGAATTCTAGTAGCATTAATAAATTCAGAGAAAATAGATAAATTAATAAAGTATATGTGTTTCCGGTATCTGACAAAAAATTGGTGAAAAAATAGGTTCGTTATCAAAAACAAAGGAATATCGGATAACCAAAAAACGCATTGTTGTTCCTGCCAAGAGACGATCGTTCACAACAACAATAATGTTTGGAGTTAGTGGAGGAATGAGGTTACATTCTACAGACCTGCGCCGTCCAGATATCTACATGGTCCAGGTCGGTGATGGATTATTGTCCGAGTTTTATGATAGTCCATAAAAAACCTCGAAAAAGAATATAAAAATGCACTCTTAAAAGCAAGTCAAATCTAAATAATTATATAAAAATATAATTGTGATGAAATTTACCAATGAAAAAAAAAACAAAAAAAACGACAAAGCTTAAAGAAAACAAGAGATCCCAGAGAGATCTAGACGCCCGCCATTGTTTGATCTTTATATGTTCTTTAACAGTTGGATCTTTTCCCTTCTTTTCTCTGTTTTTGCTATTAATGATAAGACATTTGAACATTCCTTTGCAGAATTTGTGATGATAATCTTTACATGCCAAATCCAAAATGGCCGCTTGGAAGTAATTTTTTTCCTCTGATCAGTCCAAAATCAAACGAACACAAGGAGAGATCAAAGGAGCCATATGTATGAAATTTGAGAGATGTCTATTCAGTACTTATTAGAAAATAGCAATAACAATCTTTACTAGGCTAAATCAAAGATGGCTGCCTATCGGCCACTTTTTAACAGTCCCAAAATCAACCGGGCACAACTAGGGACCAAGGGGATCCATCATATGGAATTTGAGAAAGATCCATCCGGTCCCTCTCAAGAAATAGCGATAACAAAAATTGTTTACGGAAGGACGGACCACGGACGCAGAGCGATTTGAATAGCCCACCATCTATTGTGGCACAAAGCAGTAAAACATGCGAAGGGTCACTGACGCGTATCATTTTACTTGTAAATCTATAATCTTCTGAATAGGTGTATAATATCTAACACAGATATCAATAAAGCTAGTCCCCTTAACATAACTGAGTATATACATCAAACCAATAGATTTAATCCGTAATCTTCCTCCTATTTTGTATGTAGTGATTACCGACATGCAGCGTGATATAACCATCTTTATTAAGAACACACATCAATATCTATATATATACTGAAAGGATAAAGAAACGCAGGGTAATATTTAAACCGATATTTTGAAAACGCGTTCTCCAAATAAAGTGAAACTTTGTGGATTGAGTAATTAGGTCATATTACACCTTGTCATGTATCGAAAATTTAGTCACGGTACAGTGCGCAGCTCTGGTAAATGGAGGAAGGAAAAAACAAGAATCTCGTGCACCGTGTTGTTCTGGTCTCATGCAGCGTTGTTCAAGTCACTCTTCGTTAGTCTTTAATACAGACCAACTGCTTCCCTAAAATTAATTGAGAATTTTTAAGAATGGCACGACTCACAGAAGTTCAGATGGGTCAGGCCATTCAGATGCTGATGCAAGGACAGCTGCAAAATCAGATTGCTAGGCACTTTGGTGTTAATGTTTCCACCATAGAACGTCTTGTAAGACGTCTTCGGGAAACTGGGCGATTGGCCGATCGACCTAGGTCAGGACGTCCGCGCGTAACGTCACGACATCAGGATCGCTATATCGTCGTCTCTCATGTGCGTAATCGGCGCCTTACTGCCGTTGAGAGTGCACTTAATGTTCGTGGAAATATATCCTATAAGTTCAAAAACTGTAAGGAATCGATTACGAGAAGTAAGAGCACGTCGCCCCTACGAAGGTCCACACCTTACCCCTGCTCGACGTTAGCAGTGGAGACAAGTTTTCTTCACGGACGAGTCTCGATTCTGTCTTGATCGATCTGACGGCCGTCAACGTGTCTACCGACGTCGTGGCGAACGTTTTACGGACGCTTGCGTTGTAGAGAGGGATAGGTTTGGGGGCGGTTCAGTAATGGTGTGGGGAGGAATCTCACACGGGTTAAAATCACAATTGGTTGTTATTGATGGCAATTTAACAGCAACTAAGTATAGAGATGAGATCCTCCGACCCCATGTTATCCCTTTCTTACAGCAGCATAATCTAACCCTCCAGCAGGATAATGCTAGGCCCCACGTAGCAAGGACTTGCCAAGTCTTTCTGGCCAACAACAACATTCAACCACTAGATTTGCCGCCATATAGCCCTGATTTGTCCCCGATCGAGCATCTTTGGGACCAGTTGGATAGACAGGTTCGAAAGCGCCAGCCACCCCCTGCTACTCGAGAGCAGTTGACCAGAGCTCTGATTGAAGAGTGGGACAACATCCCCATAAGACGGATTAACGCTCTCATGAACTCTATGACCAGAAGAATAAGGGCCGTGACCACAGCAAACGGCGGACACACATGATATTGATGAGTCAGTTCAATTTCAATTTCAAAATCCTATGGGTCCATTCAATTTAATCGTTAGTTCCTCTAAACCAATTGTCAGATGCAAAATACAGACTTTGGAAATTTTTAAGCTTTAATTTATCTGTAAGTATACAAAATTTCGTTTTAAATGAAGCCCGATATCATACTTAATTTCTGGTTTAAAGTTCACCCTGCGTTTCTTTATCCTTTTAGTATATATACAGACTGGACTGGTCATTGTGTAGTATTTACTATTATGTTAATTATATATATGTTTAATTACTCTACTATACATTGTGTTAAGAGGATGTACTCCAATACAGGTAAAAATAAATAATCATTTACATCTCCAAAAACTAAATCATAAATACGCACACCATTAGATACAAAGTTGTGGATAAATTGTTATATATATCCAGTGATTTGATGGTCGAGGTGTACATACACAGGGACTTAAGATCTGTATCCCGGGATTCATGTGTGATAAATCATCAACATATTTGTATCATTTGCGTAATTCAAAATAGAATGCTCCATGAATACTTCCATCTGTATTAATTTGATAAATACTTTATATTCCATAACAAATTGAAGTTACCTCCCCTTACCTACTTCTACCTATTTAATGTAATGCAGAATATATATCGTAGAGAAGTTTGGAAAGCACCTACATAGGTATAGCCGATCCTATAAACATATGAAAAGTTAATGAAATTTGTTGAAATTGAAAATTGAGGATATAAAAATTCACTCTTAAAGGATAGTAAAATTTGTATATAAAATATATAAACCGATGAGAGAAAAAAAAAACAAAACATTTTGCTTGTAATACAACAGATAAGTTTGAGATTCAAAAATGTAAAAAAAAACGGTATACATCCGAAATTCACTAATTGTCTTAATTGTACTGTCGGTATGAGGGGCATGAGTAAAACTTCAGTACCTAATTATACTGTCGGTATGAGGGACACAGTAAAACTTCAGTACCTACTTGTACTGTCGGTATGTGGGACATGAGTAAAACTTCAGTACCTAATTGTACTGTCGGTATGAGGGACATGAGTAAAACTTCAGTTTCTAATTGTACTGTTGGTGTGAGGGACATGAGTAAAACTTCAGTACCTAATTGTACTGTGGGTATGAGGGACATGAGTGAAACTTCAGTTTCTAATTGTACTGTTGGTGTGAGGGACATGAGTAAAACTTCAGTACCTAATTGTACTGTGGGTATGAGGGACATGAGTAAAACTTCAGTACCTAATTGTACTGTCGGTATGAGGGACATGAGTAAAACTTCAGTACCTAATTGTACTGTCGGTATGAGGGACACAGTAAAACTTCAGTACCTAATTGTACTGTCGGTATGAGGGACATGAGTAAAACTTCAGTACCTAATTGTACTGTCGGTATGACTTGATGTTCCCTTGTTGCTTGTAGTAGAAAATGTCATTAATCTTACTTACTACATGCAATGATTTTAGTGACACAATTAAATTATTATCTAATCTGTTGAAATTTTACTCTACAAAAACATATGAAGGTAGCAATATTCATATCTATTACATTGCTTATATGTCACTCTTTTATTTCGAAACTATACATAGGTCACCATCGACTCCTCCAGACTCTGGTAAAATAAAGCTTTGTTGGATACTAGTGTCATACTAGTTGTGTAGAGGTCTCTTTCTCTCATTGTTATGATCCTTTCATTCGCTTCCTAGGTCTAAGTTATACATATATCGCTCTGTTGATTGTGGATATTTTCACCACCTCACCAGTCTACTTTGTGTGTATTCCGCAGGTGATCCACAGGGTTCAATTCTTGGATCTCTCTTATTTTTTATATACATTAATGCATAAATGACATTGTTAAAGATAAACAGGCAAAAAAAAAAAAAGTTGTTTACACTGATGACATCGTCTTAACAGTGACCCGAACAAAATTCATTACCGGTCACAAAGATGCTTAGTGAGTGGTAATCCTTCCAAACTAGAAACCACGCTCAGTATTAGAAAACCCATAAAACCTTTCCATCCTCCCTTAAGTCTTGAAATGGTCAGTGGAATAAGTTAATAAATTATAAAATATCTAAGATTTCGCCTAAAATAAATATCTTAAGGAAATTTAAATTCTCTTTGGAGAGGTATAGTTTACAAACTATGTACATTGTACTTCACTCTCATTCGACCGATACCTGACTGCTGGGATATCGTTTGGGACTGCCTTTCTATAGCTCAATATCAGACTGGTAGTACTAGATTAACTAATAGAGTTAAACTGTACACTGAAACAGGCTGGGTTCCCCTCGAGGAAAGAGGTTAACAAGATAAAGTTATTCTTTTCCATCAACTGGTTCATGGTCTTTTCTCAATATTCTTCCTCAGCAGAAACAAAATCATTACAGCCATGATATTCTCATGGGTAGTAATTACCGTCTTCCAGAGTGTCACACTAGGCAACATAATAAAATGTTTGGCCATCTGTTATCAGTATCTAGAACTCCTTGCCAAACTTTGTTTTAAACGACCCTTCAGTTTATAAACTGACAACCTCCGCACGCCCACTCACAAAAATCCAATATTTTACTTTAATGGCACTTGAATTTAGTAGATTCATTATGCTTGGCTAAGCACGTAATGTAATTCCCTGAAGTTTTATTTATTCCATATAAATGTTATTGATAGTCCTCTGTGTTCTGGTATTCAGGCAAATGACTCCAACAAACCTGATCTATTACATTGTTGTCATTTTTCCAACTACCTATACACACACAAATCAGCGACCCACCGATCGATTTACTCGGTAATCAGCAGCTTACAGATAATGTAAATGCTTTAATTCTCTTGACTGTACAAAATTACATCATCCTGTCTAAAAGACTAGAATGAGGTCTTGTCCTTTGTTTCCTATAAACCATTTCTTCTCCTCTCCTTCCCCCAATTCTTTCTGTTTCCCCCTTTTATTCCCCTTCCCAGTCATCTAATCGTAGCCCTAAAACTTACCCTAACCCCTACCCATTAACCCCTAGCCCTAACCCCTTCCCCACCACCTCTAACCCTAACCCCATACACAACTCCCACAACCCTTATCTTTTACGGATATGTCATATAACCACTCAAACAAAACGGAACCAACAGGTATAGAGACTAGTATTAAACACGGTAACAACAACAGAACCAACAGGTATAGTGACTAGTAGTAAACACGGTAAACAACAACAGAACCAACAGGTATAGTGACTAGTATTAAACACGGTAAACAACGGAACCAACAGGTATAGTGACTAGTAGTAAACACGGTAAACAACAACAGAACCAACAGGTTCAGTAACTAGTATTCAACACGATAAACAACGAGAGAACCAACAGGTATAGTGACTAGTATTAAACACGGTAACAACAACAGAACCAACAGGTATAGTAACTAGTATTAAACACGGTAAACAACGGAACCAACAGGTATAGTAACTAGTATTAAACACGGTAACAACAACAGAACCAACAGGTATAGTAACTAGTATTAAACACGGTAAACAACAACGGAACCAACAGGTATAGTAACTAGTATTAAACACGGTAAACAACGGAACCAACAGGTATAGTGACTAGTAGTAAACACGGTAAACAACAACGGAACCAATAGGTTCAGTAAATAGTATTAAATACGGTAAACAACAACAGAACCAACAGGAATAGTGACTAGTAGTAAACACGGTAAACAACAACGGAACCAACAGGTTTTGTAATTAGTATTAAACACGGTAACAACAACAGAACCAACAGGTATAGTGACTAGTAGTAAACACGGTAAACAACAACGGAACCAATAGGTTCAGTCAATAGCATTAAATACGGTAAACAACAACAGAACCAACAGGAATAGTGACTAGCATTAAACACAGTAAACAACAACTGAACCAACAGGTATAGTAATTAGTATTAAACACGGTAACAACAACAGAACCAACAGGTATAGTGACTAGTAGTAAACACGGTAAACAACAACGGAACCAACAGGTATAGTGACTAGTAGTAAACACGGTAAACAACAACGGAACCAATAGGTTCAGTAAATAGTATTAAATACGGTAAACAACAACAGAACCAACAGGAATAGTGACTAGTAGTAAACACGGTAAACAACAACGGAACCAACAGGTATAGTGACTAGTATTAAATATGGTAAACAACAACTGAACCAACAGGTATAGTAATTAGTATTAAATACGGTAACAACAACAGAACCAACAGGTATAGTAACTAGTATTAAACACGGTAAACAACGGAACCAACAGGTTTAGTGACTAGCATTAAATACGGTAAACAACAACAGAACCAACAGGTATAGTGACTAGTATTAAACACGGTAAACAACAACGGAACCAACAGGTATAGTAACTAGTATTAAACACGGTAACAACAACAGAACCAACAGGTATAGTATCTAGTATTAAACACGGTAAACAACAACGGAACCAACAGGTATAGTGACTAGTAGTAAAGACGGTAAACAACAACGGAACCAATAGGTTCAGTAAATAGTATTAAATACGGTAAACAACAACAGAACCAACAGGAATAGTGACTAGTAGTAAACACGGTAAACAACAACGGAACCAACAGGTATAGTGACTAGTATTAAATATGGTAAACAACAACTGAACCAACAGGTATAGTAATTAGTATTAAATACGGTAACAACAACAGAACCAACAGGTATAGTAACTAGTATTAAACACGGTAAACAACGGAACCAACAGGTTTAGTGACTAGCATTAAATACGGTAAACAACAACAGAACCAACAGGTATAGTGACTAGTATTAAACACGGTAAACAACAACAGAACCAACAGGTATAGTGACTAGTATTAAACACGGTAAACAACAACGGAACCAACAGGTATAGTGACTAGTAGTAAACACGGTAAACAACAACGGAACCAATAAGTTCAGTAACTAGTATTAAACACGGTAAACAACGAGAGAACCAACAGGTATAGTAACTAGTATTAAACACGGTAAACAACGGAACCAACAGGTATAGTGACTAGTATTAAACACGGTAAACAACAACTGAACCAACAGGTATAGTGACTAGTATTAAACACGGTAAACAACAACGGAACCAACAGGTTTTGTAATTAGTATTAAACACGGTAACAACAACAGAACCAACAGGTATAGTGACTAGTAGTAAACACGGTAAACAACAACGGAACCAACAGGTATAGTGACTAGTAGTAAACACGGTAAACAACAACGGAACCAATAGGTTCAGTAAATAGTATTAAATACGGTAAACAACAACAGAACCAACAGGAATAGTGACTAGTAGTAAACACGGTAAACAACAACGGAACCAACAGGTATAGTGACTAGTATTAAACACGGTAAACAACGGAACCAACAGGTATAGTAATTAGTATTAAACACGGTAACAACAACAGAACCAACAGGTATAGTAACTAGTATTAAACACGGTAAACAACGGAACCAACAGGTTTAGTGACTAGCATTAAATACGGTAAACAACAACAGAACCAACAGGTATAGTGACTAGTATTAAACACGGTAAACAACAACGGAACCAACAGGTATAGTGACTAGTATTAAACACGGTAAACAACAACTGAACCAACAGGTATAGTGACTAGTATTAAACACGGTAAACAACAACTGAACCAACAGGTATAGTGACTAGTAGTAAACACGGTAAAAAACAACGGAACCAACAGGAATAGTGACTAGTATTAAACACGGTAAACAACAACTGAACCAACAGGTATAGTGACTAGTATTAAACACGGTAAACAACGGAACCAACAGGTATAGTGACTAGTATTAAACACGGTAAACAACGGAACCAACAGGTATAGTAACTAGTATTAAACACGGTAACAACAACGGAACCAACAGGTATATTAACTAGTAGTAAACAGTGTCAAACCTCAAATGAGATCATTATGACGACCGTAAAACTCACCCATCTTTTGCAACACCCTGGATCTCGAGTTTTGTCATTTTTCTAAATTCGTGTCATTGAGGGCAAACCATCGAACATCGATTCAGTTACAATACCATATGTTGAGGATAAAGGGATGTTATTCTCCATATATGGAAGTGTACAGTAGGGAGCTTGGAACTATCACATTAATCATTCAGCATGTTTATGGTTTCGTTGTAAGAAAAGGTCGAGATAAGCAGCTGACTCAGGAGATTCTGTCATGTCCTTGATTCCGACTCCGATGGATTAATACGATTTATATAATTAATGAATACATATTTTTTAATTAAAAGAAAAGACATCATTAATAGATCTGAACGTGATATTGAAAGATTTCGCGAGGTTTCTGTGATCTGTTTTAATTAGCTATTTGATAAATCAGCCTTGTATGAAAACAAAAACCAGTTAACCAACAGAGTGGCACAGCTTGTTTCCATAGCGTCTTCTTATAGTCTGTTAGAAGATCTTGCTGCCAAAATCGAACAGTATTAATATATAAAGAGGATCTTACTTACAATTTGGTCTTCAAGGACGATCAGACAGACAGTAGACCTGCCAGTTACATACGCCTTGTTGGAGCATTTTGATGGCATCAGGACGATTAGACAGACAATCGATCTACCAGTAACGTACGACTTGTTGTACTATTAACGCCACCAGGACGACCGGACGGACAGTAGAGTCACCTATAACGTACGCATTGTTGTACTATTAACGCCACCAGGAAGGCCAGACGGACGGCAGACTTACCAATAACGTACGACTTGTTGTACTATTAACGCCACCAGGACGGCCAGACGGACGGCAGACTTACCAGTAACGTACGCATTGTTGTACTGTTAACGCCACCAGGAAGGCCAGACGGACGGCAGACTTACCAGTAACGTATGCCTTGTTGTAATATTAACGCCAACAGGACGGCCAGACGAACTGCAGACTTACCAGTAACGCACGCCTTGTTGTACTATTAACGCCACCAGGACGGTCAGACGGACGGCAGACTTACCAGTAACGCACGCCTTGTACTATTAACGACACCAGGACGGTCAGACGGACGGCAGACTTACCAGTAACGCACGCCTTGTTGTACTATTAACGGCACCAGGAAGGCCAGACGGACGGCAGACTTACCAGTAACGTATGCCTTGTAATATTAACGCCAACAGGACTGCCAGACGGACTGCAGACTTACCAGTAACGCACGCCTTGTTGTACTATTAACGCCACCAGGAAGGCCAGACGGACGGCAGACTTACCAGTAACGTATGCCTTGTTGTAATATTAACGCCAACAGGACGGCCAGACGAACTGCAGACTTACCAGTAACGCACGCCTTGTTGTACTATTAACGCCACCAGGACGGTCAGACGGACGGCAGACTTACCAGTAACGCACGCCTTGTACTATTAACGCCACCAGGACGGTCAGACGGACGGCAGACTTACCAGTAACGCACGCCTTGTTGTACTATTAACGGCACCAGGAAGGCCAGACGCAGACTTACCAGTAACGTATGTCTTGTAATATTAACGCCAACAGGACGGCCAGACGGACTGCAGACTTACCAGTAACGCACGCCTTGTTGTACTATTAACGCCACCAGGACGGCCAGACGGACGGCAGACCTACCAGTAACGCACGCCTTGTTGTACTATTAACGGCACCAGGACGGTCAGACGGACGGCAGACTTACCAGTAACGCACGCCCTGTTGTACTATTAACGCCACCAGGACGGTCAGACGGACGGCAGACTTACCAGTAACGCATGCCTTGTTGTACTATTAACGCCACCAGGACGGTCAGACGGACGGCAGACTTACCAGTAACGCACGCCTTGTTGTACTATTAACGCCACCAGGACGGTCAAAAGAATAGTCCTCAACATGATCTGGAAAAAAGGATTGAATGAGAATTATACTGTTGTCTTCAATCCTGCTCACAGAGTATTCCAGTCGCCTTGAAGAAACGTGCTTTAATTGGGGAACAACATGCCCAAAAGGAAATACACTTACCCGCAATATAACAGTACTTATATTTACATTTGGTAGCCACAGATTTTCATGAATATTTTTTTTACAATAAATATTATTTTTAATCAAACAATTTCTCATTTACAGTGCGGCCGAGATGTACCGGTAGACTACTGTCCTCGAAGTGTGACATGCAGTTGTTTTCGTTGTGATCACATATACGCTCAGACACAGTGCAAAACATACCGAGATTGTTATAAAACATTTTTGGTATTTTTATCACCGTCTTCCATACAACAACTTAGGACAGTTGTTTTCATCCGTCCATCGACCGAAGGGATTATCGAGACGACTAAGAATTGATCGTATCACACTCCGAGGAAAAGAGTTACTTGTACATCTCGGCCCCGCTAGAAATTGTTTCATTAAAGATAAGGAATATTATTGTGAAAAAAAATGTATGTTTAGTTACAATAAAAAGTATTTTTTGATAAAAGAAAAAAATCAACACATCAAATAAATGCACAAAATATTTTAATACGGTCGAATATGCCCTCGATGCGTCAATTCGCCCACAGAAATCTCGCCCCAGAAAAATAGATTCTCTGCGTCCGGAATAGAGTTAATGATCGGTGCCAGTTTTTAATAGGAACGAAAACAGAGATTTATGAGATAAATGAGATGGTAATAAATTTGGAAATGAATTTATAGTAAAAATGGGGGAAAAATTGGGGGCAGGGGTGTAGGGGAAGGGAGGAGGAGACAATTCTAAACCTATACGAGTTGGTGCAATGCGCAGTGATGGCTGAAGATGTACTGACTGCCAGGTATGTCTGACAGGACCCGTATGTAACATCATCTCTCGTTCAGGCCGAGGTGACTGGTTTGGAGTTGGTTGATCTAGTGTATATATTTTTTAAGATGTTTAGAATACCTTTGACCATGAACCTTAATTCCTGTCTCCCTGTATTTTCAGTGAGTCCCTGGAGTTTGATGACGAATTTGATTCGAACAACAGTGTAACAATTGCACTTGATGATGACGATGAGAACACATGTACACAAGAAATCAGAAAACCAGAAGGCGTGCCTGTAAAGCTATTGGTAGAGGATAGAGATCTGAAGTTACGTGTGGAATTTGCCTGGGATTCCGCTTTATCTTGCTCGTCTACACCCTCCGCCTACGGAAGCGTATTCCGGCCACGTTGTCTTTTTTTTGTCTTAAACTTTCGAGATAACAACGCGAAATTTTGAGATTGCAATTCGAAATTTCGGATTACTAACTCGAAATTTCGAGTTAATATCTCAAAATTTCGAATTACTAACTGGAAATTTCAAGTTACTATCTCAAAATTTCGAGTTAAAATAAATACCAACGTGGCTGGAATATGCTTCCGTATCCGCCTCATGTCCGTCATAGAAAATAAGACAGTATGGCCACATTGCCTAATGATTACAGCATACATCAATTAGATAAACGGAAGTTGGACGTCAGAGTAAAACGCCTTGACATTGAGCGCGAGAGACTTTATATTCAACGGCAACGTTTTATATGTGAGAAAGAAAATTTGTCTGCACTGAAACAATTATCTTCTTCCCAAGCTAGTAATTCCACTGGCACAATTCTAACCTTGAAAGCAATTCTGCATATCAATAACTACAAAATGTACCGACTGAAGAAATTTACCGACTATATACAAATCTGTAGTGGACAGGTAATCAGGATTACAAATAGCGAAAGATAAGTAATTTAAATAAAAATTAGACAAACAAAATTTGATGAAATTAAAGGTCACAGAAGGTGGATGAATTCTTTATATTATAACTGGTACGTTTTAAAAGTTCTAAATGGTCGCTGATCTCTGCGCTTGTTTCTTTATTAAATTTCTATTTGTTTTCATTGATGCCAACAGAAGTGTACAAATGACCCGGCATACCACGATGTCAATCTTCAATGGTACCATGAGATGACATGTGACAAGTGTAACCTGTTTCTGAGACATTTCAACAACATTTTACAATGTATGTATATGTTTTATGGTTTTACAATGTACATGTTTTATAGTTTTACAATGTACATGTTTTATGGTTTTACAATGTACATGTTTTATAGTTTTACAATATACATGTTTTATGGTTTTACAATGTATGTACATGTTTTATAGTTTTGCAATGTACATGTTTTATAGTTTTACAATGTACATGTTTTATAGTTTTACATGTACATGTTTTATAGTTTTACAATATACATGTTTTATGGTTTTACAATGTATGTACATGTTTTATAGTTTTACAATGAATATACATGTTTTATAGTTTTACAATATACATGTTTTATGGTTTTACAATGTATGTACATGTTTTACAATGTATGTACATGTTTTATGGTTTTACATGTTGTTTATAGTTTTACAATGAATATACATGTTTTATAGTTTTACAATGTACATGTTTTATAGTTTTACAATGTACATGTTTTATAGTTTTACAATATACATGTTTTATGGTTTTACAATGTATGTACATGTTTTATAGTTTTACAATGTACATGTTTTATAGTTTTACAATGTACATGTTTTATAGTTTTACAATGTACATGTTTTATAGTTTTACAATGTACATGTTTTTGTACATGTTTTATAGTTTTACAATATACATGTTTTATAGTTTTACAATATACATGTTTTATGGTTTTACAATGTATGTACATGTTTTATAGTTTTACAATGAATATACATGTTTTATAGTTTTACAATATACATGTTTTATGGTTTTACAATGTATGTACATGTTTTATAGTTTTACAATGAATATACATGTTTTATAGTTTTACAATGTGCATGTTTTATAGTTTTACAATGTACATGTTTTATAGTTTTACAATATACATGTTTTATGGTTTTACAATGTATGTACATGTTTTATAGTTTTACAATGTACATGTTTTATAGTTTTACAATGTACATGTTTTATAGTTTTACAATGTACATGTTTTATAGTTTTACAATGTACATGTTTTATAGTTTTACAATATACATGTTTTATAGTTTTACAATATACATGTTTTATGGTTTTACAATGTATGTACATGTTTTATAGTTTTACAATGAATATACATGTTTTATAGTTTTACAATGTACATGTTTTATAGTTTTACAATGTACATGTTTTATAGTTTTACAATGTATGAACATGTTTTATAGTTTTACAATATACATGTTTTATAGTTTTACAATGTACATGTTTTATAGTTTTACGATGTATATACATGCTTTATGGTTTTACAATGTATGTACATGTTTTATAGTTTTACAATGTACATGTTTTATAGTTTTACAATGTACATGTTGTATGGTTTTACAATGTATGTACATGTTATATAGTTTTACAATGTACATGTTTTATAGTTTTACAATGTATGTACAATGTATGTTTTACAAATGTATGTTTTATAGTTTTACAATGTACATGTTTTATGGTTTTACAATGTACATGTTTTATAGTTTTACAATGTAAATGCATGTTTTATGGTTTTACAATGTACATGTTTTATGAGTTTTACGATGTATATACATGCTTTATGGTTTTACAATGTATTTACATGTTTTATAGTTTTACAATGTATGGTAATGTTTTATAGTTTTACAATGTACATGTTGTATAGTTTTACAATGTATGTACATGTTATATAGTTTTACAATGTACATGTTTTATAGTTTTACAATGTATGTACATGTTTTATGGTTTTACAATGTATGTACATGTTTTATAGTTTTACAATGTACATGTTTTATGGTTTTACGATGTATATACATGCGTTATGGTTTTACAATGTACATGTTTTATGGTTATACAATGTATGTACATGTTTTATGGTTTTACAATGTACATGTTTTATGGTTTTACGATGTATATACATGCTTTATGGTTTTACAATGTATTTACATGTTTTATAGTTTTACAATGTACATGTTTCATAGTTTTACAATGTATGTACATGTTTTATAGTTTTACAATGTATTTACATGCTTTATGGTTTTACAATGTACATGTTTTATGGTTTTACAATGTATGTACATGTTTTATGGTTTTACAATGTACATGTTTTATAGTTTTACAATGTATGTACATGTTTTATAGTTTTACAATGTATATACATGTTTTATAGTTTTACAATGTATGTACATGTTTTATTGTTTTACAATGTATGTACATGTTTTATGGTTTTACAATGTACATGTTTTATAGTTTTACAATGTATGTACATGTTTTATAGTTTTACAATGTACGTGCAAGTTTCGCACATGAGTTATTGTTGTTTTGAAATATATTCTGTAATTGTTTGCTGACATTGATGATAAGGCCGAGCGCCAGAGAAAAGTTGCTCATTTAGCTGGCCCCTGGCTCGGCTTCCAGACGAGTTATCAGTGTCATAATCCTAATCCTATTCCCCGACATCATGGTCAGGAATCCGCTTTGTGAAGCAATATCATGCAGTACAGCAGTGGCTGAACTAACGTTACACGACCTTTACGGCGACAATGTAAGGCCTCTATGAAAACACTTGAATCTTATTTTCCATATTCCAAACAATCGTTCTATAAAACAGCGTGTTCTACGGTGGCAGATATTATAACGTCTATCACAGTTTGTCTGTGGGTTATGTTAAGAGTCAATAACCAGGGCTTAAGACCGTAACCACAGTCTCTTAGCAAACAAACACTATCAATGTTACCTGCCTCAAAAGCAGCACTTAACCAGCAGTTATTCCAAACCTGAGCATCGTGTGTGGCTCTGGGCCATTTAGCCATGTTCAAAGACGAGTTGTTGGCATTGCAAACTCCAAAATGGTTATCCCGGCCACGCAATAAACGCCTTGCAACTGTAGCGGGGGACATTATATCTTGTGTAATTTTATACGATATAAATCTGTCAATGCTTCAATTTTAGACAGCTTTATACAGGTGTCCGTGTGTCAGGTCTACTGTAGTGTTTGTACCCTGTGTACCCGTGACCTCTCCATTGTTTTGTCCTGTCACCTGTTACCCGTTTTGTCGGAGGTCTATGTATATCACGTGCAAGTTCTCCGGTCTTGTTTTCCTTGCATTTTCGTCCGTGTCAGGGGTGTTCTGTCTCTGGTGATGTGTTGTGATTGGTTCAAACTGTCTCGTATTGTCATTTTAAGGTATAAGATGCAGTCTAATAATTTGGGTGCAGAGCGTTGGATTAACTTCCACAGGGTGAAAACCTTCTCTGAGGTAGGGCGGTGAATGGTAGCGTAATTCGTTATTTTATCGGGTGGGAAGCTATAGCTGGGTGGAATGTAATTTTGTATAGAGATAGATAAGTTTATGTATTCAGTGTAAGATGGGGGTCTCTGTGTCGGTAACAGCCTATGCCGTTGTTGATAATTCCTGTTAATTAATGTTTGCTGTTAAATAAATTGTTACATTTAAATTAGCAGTGTTTGTTCTCCTTCGAAAACAAAATACAAGCTGTACCCATCGAACCTGGGTTGACGGTGATACAGGGCGAGACGGGACTGGGTAACTGTTGACCCCACCCCCTCTCCCTCCTGTTATACAATGTTTACATGGCTTTTTATTAGTTTTTTTGCGAAGATGGAGCAGTGGCCATTTTGACTATTTGTAGTTGTAAAGATAATGTTAAAGGAGGGTATGGTCAGCCTTACTAACGAAAGTTATACTATACAAACGCTACCAGTTACACCAAAAATGCCAAAGGGATGTTTATGTGTGGTTACACAGTTAACAGTTATTATTTTAAGATGATCTTATTAACTAAGAGAGTTTTCGGTTACTGTCCCCAGATTCGTAACATTATAGATCTTCAATGCAGTCCCGACAACATAATCCGACTCCAAAAAGTAAATCTTACCTGTACGGTCCTTGTATAACCAAGATGGTGTACCTCTGTCGGGGCTCAATATCACCCGGAATTCACTGCTGTGACGTAACCCTTGCGCCACACAATTACTCTATAAATAGTACTGACCGTATGTTTTCTTTATTTGTCTCGCACGAATAACCATCAATACACAGCGGTTTAAATCAGACACGTTAATAACATAATTGGCTTTAGAACTGTCGTGATGGCATATAGTTGTGGGTTTTTGGTATATCTTGTTACTTGGCCGTCGCATGTTGCTGTGTATTGTTAACACATGTTTGTTAAGTTTAATCAATTGTTGAGTTGTGATTCTGTCTGTTGTCCTGTCTAGAATTGTAGTAAGAGGTAATAAACTGTCTTATAGGGACAGAGTTTTCTACATAACTATACAGTTGTCGGATTGCATAAATTCACACGACGTATGCACGATGTGCGCACGATAGAAAAAAAAAACAAAAAAAAACTGGACGACATAAGCTATCGCACATTTGTGTTCATGTTGTGTAGTACAATCACACAAATATGCGATTCTATCGTGGTTGGTATAAATCTAGAAAATTACTTATACAGATAAGTATGGGATAGGGTTTACTTATTTTCTAAATACATAAAATACAGCTAGGTATATTTCCTAATCAAGCCATTAATATATAGGTTGGACACTTGTAGATATATCAGATACACACGGAATAGTTAGATAAACTCGTAAATGAAAGTGCTTTGTTTACACGTGACCAGCCTTAGTGCGCGGACACACATTATATATACAGTTTATATGTGAAAACATTAAATGTACGTCTTTTCATGTCACAGCAATGAATCATTCAAAAATCTCATATCGTCAGAAAGGGAATTTTATTTTCATTACTACTGTATTAATATTATTTTTCATTCA